TCAGCCCCGTGGCCCCTCAGCAACCCACCCCGCCCCTCCCCAATTCAGCTGCTTCCCGATATCAGAGGTGCTCCAGCCCCACCTAGAGGGATGCTTCTTCCCGAAAGCCTCCAGCGACTACCCCGCCCCAAGTCGTGATCACCCTCTGCTGGGATTCTTAGTCAGGGGCAGGGGCTGCAGATGAGTCCCCGACCTCTGCAAAACCGAGAGCTTTTTGGCGCCACGAGGGAGGGGGTACTGTCCAGGTGCTGGCTGAGTGAAGCACCGGTTCCCCCAGGAGAGGTGGGCCCGGTGACTTGTGGGGACTGACGCGAAGCAACATCTGAACACACGGTGGGGCAGTCATTCATTGTCTTGTTTTATCATTTGAGGGATCTCAGGCTTCCCGAGCTCAGGGGGACGCCGCTGCCAGATGCCCTACTGGCCCCTGATGTCCAGCTGAAGCCAGCATTGCCTGCTCAGCATTGCCGCCGTCTCTGACCTGGTGGGGGACTTCCACTTAGTTTCTGTGTTCTGGAGTGGCCCTCATCCTTGGGGTGGGGAGGGCAGAGGTACATGGGGGGCACCTGTTCAGGTACAAATCCAAGGTGGGGGCCCCCCCAGTGGGCCTGGTGGAGACCTAAGAATGTCTGGTGGTGCAGGGCATGTTGGCTAACAGAGGCTCCTTGTTCAAACCCACAGAGGACCCGACTCAGAAGCCCAGTGGAGGGTTCCTGTGACCCCACTACCCTCTGGGGACAGACACATTGGGGCCCAACCCACCCCTGCCCTTGGACCACAGATGGCCCTACCTGTCCAGTCCCAGCTCTGCCTGGAAAATGTAGAGAAGAGGGAGGCGCAGCAAAGAGGGGTCTCTGGGGGTGGGGCTGTAGCAACTTCCCCCAGGCTCCCTTTCCTGGCCTTGGGGACCAGGGTCCTGACATCGTTTCATCTGCCAAGGCCCCTTCTGTTCCCCTGCCCCCTAGGTGTGCATGGTGTGGGGGGCCGCCCACCCAGAACCTTACCCGCCTCCACTTGTATATGGGGTCTGGGATGTCGGGCAGCCTCAGGTACCTGGCACCCTTTTCTGGGTGCACACATGTAGGGGAGGGGGTCTGGAGTGTGGGGCTTCTCCCCCGTCTGTGCCCTTTCTGGGTGACTAAAGCAGCACAGGAGGAAGAGGAGATGAGGGTGCCTCGTGCCTGCCCGCGCTCAGCCATAGCTGTGGGGGTTGCCTGGGTCCACAGGCACAGGGTCCAGTCGGCTGGCCTGCCTGAGGCGCCACAGGCGGTGGCCAAGGTTCTGCACCTGGCAGGTGGCCAGCAGGCAGCCCACCCGCAGCAGCCGGTCTCTGGGCCTGTGGACGCTGGGGCCTGGGCGGCTATGCTCTTGGAGAGCCTGGATCACGGCAGGAGGCGCCCAGGGGGCCTTTTGCAGCTTTGAGGTCATAGGCTGGGGTGCAGGATGCCGGGGGTGCAGGATGCTGAAAGAGGTTCTGATGAGATGTGCCCTGTACAGACGGGAAGTAAATTAGACAGTCTAGCCTTTTGGGGACCCCACATCCACTCACTTTCTCTCGCACTGAGTGGTCACTGGGCAGGGAAACCCACTGAGCTCTGGCCAGGAGCCTGGCCAGGGGAATCCCACCCCGCAGGACATTGCTGGGAAGCCACAGTCCCTTGAGGGCTCAAAGCCTGGGTCACTTGCCCCATCACCCTGTATTCCCGCAGCAAAGTTCACTCCAGCCCCCAGGAGTCCCTGTTTTCAGGATTTGGAGTGCTGGGAGCTAAATAGACCTGGGGTCCCTCCAGCGCCTCCCCCACCTGGCCCGCTTCCAGCAGGCAATTCTTTAGTGCAGGGCTGTGAGGTGGGGGTTAGCCTGGTCAAGTGCTGCAGAAGCACGGAGGGGGCTGACCTTTAACCTAGGGTCTTTGCTCCCACCCGGTGTCCCGCTGAGAAACGAGGAAGGCTCAGACCTGAAGCAGCACTCACCTGGCTCTGGCCGTGCGCGGGCGTCCCTCCAGTCCGCTAGACAGCAGGTACAGGAGGCTGATGCAAGCGAGGGTGCGGGCCCGGAGCCGCGCCATGAGGTGGGGCGCGGGGTGCAGGGCACTGCCCGGGGGAGCCCTCGATGGTTCAGCAGCCTGGGTCCTGGAGTTCTGGGTTCCCAGGTCTTGGAGGAGTAGGCGGTGCTCCAGTCTGGATGTGGGCTGGGAGGGCACTGGCTCCCACACCTCTAGGGCTAGCAGGTCTCCCAGCAGGAGGCGGAGCCCTCCCCAGACTGAGCGGGGAGCGGCTTCTCAGTACTTAGTCCCCCTCCCCAGTCGTCCCCCCTCCCCCGTTTCCCTTAGCAGCCCCTAGACCCCCTTCCTCAGACCCTAGACCCAACTCCCCAGTCCAGTACCCAAGTCCCTAGCCCGACTCTCCAGTCCTTCCTGTCTGGCCCCTAGACCCACCCACTTTCAGCCCCTAGACCCCCTCCTCAGCCCAAGAACCCCTCCCTAGGCCCTCTACCCTCCTTCCCAGTCCCTAGACCCCCTCCCCAGCTCCAGATTCCCTCCCCAGCCTCTAGAACCCCTCCACAATCCCTAGTCTCCCTCCACAGCCTCAGACACCCTTCTCAGCCCATACACTCACTTCCCCAGGCTTTAGATGCCCCCCCTTCTCAGCCCCTGGTCTTCCCCAGCCCCTGACCCACTCACAACCCCTTCCCATCGCACTGAGGCTCTTCCTCTTTCTCACTGACCCTCCACTTTCTCAGCATGATGACCTTTTCCAATGACTGGTCCCTCCTGACAATCAAGTGTGTGAGGTAAAGTTTCTGTATCTTGCCTCTAATGAGCACTCTGGCTACGCACCCTCCAAATCAGACCTGTCTGTTCTTCTGACAGTCTGTGGGATGCTCAGTGCTCCTTAATTCTGACACACCAACCCCCATTGCCCCAGGCACTGTATCAAGCCATCTCAACCAGGGTCTTCCTCTCCTGCAATGTCGCTCCACCCTTCCAAGCATGATGTCCTTTTCCAAGGACCGATCTCCTGGCTCCTTGCCCAAAGAATGTGAAACATAGCTTCAAAATCCTAGCCTCCAAGGAGAACCTTGGTTTCACCCTCTCCAAGACAGACCTATTTGTTTTCTTGGCTGTCCATGGTATGTATGTTCAAGAGTCTTCTCTAGCACCACAACTCAAAGGCATCAATTCTTCTGTCATCCTTTGTCATTGTCCAGCTCTGATGCATAGTAAGTAATTGCAAAGACCATGGCCTGGATCAGGTGCACCTTAGTCTCTAGAATGACATCATGCCTTTTCGGGAAAGGTCCCTAACAGCAGGTTTTCCCAGTGCAACTCATCTTTTGATTTCCTGACAGCTGATGTTAAGAGTGTTAATTGTGGAGCCGAGCAAGCTGTAATTACTAACAACCTCAATCTCTTCTCCGTCTATCATGGTGCTGCCAATTGGCTCAGTGATGAGAATCTTTGTCTTATTGATGTTAAGTTTCAATCCATATTGAAGGGTACAGGCCTTGACTTTTTGCACCAAGCGCTTCAGGTCTTCTTCAGTTTCAGCAAGCCAAGTTGTGCCATCTGCATAACAAAACTTGTTGAGTCTACCTCCAATCCTGTGATGCCACATTCCTCCTCATAAAGCCCTGCTTTCTGAATGATCTGTTCTGCATATAGAATGAAAAAGTATGGAGACAGGCTTGATTTTGAACCATGCAGTGTTTCCCTGCTCTGTTCTGAGGACTGCTTCCTGGTCCAAGTATAGGTTTGGCATAAGCACAATCAAGTGTCCTGGGATTCCCATTTTCCTCAAGGTTAATCACAATTTGTTGGGATCCACGCAGTCAAATGCCTTTACATAGTCAATGAAACACAGATAGACATTACTCTGGTACTCTCTGTATCTGCCAAGATCCATCTGACATTGGCAATAATATCTCTAGCGCCATGATCTCTTCAAAACCAGCTTTGATTTCTGGTAGTTGTCTGTCAGTGCACTGTTCCAGTTGTTTTTGGACAATCTTCAGCAGGATTTTGCTAGTGTGTGATATTCGTGATGTTGTTTGATAATTTCCACACTCTGTTGGGTCACCTTTTTTTGGAACGTGAAAAAACATGCATCTCCTCCACTCAGCTGGCCGGGCGGCTGTCCTCCGTCCTCCAGATTTCTTGGCACAGCCTGGTGAGCACGTCCAGAGCAGCATCTGTTTGTTGAAATATGTCAATTGATATTCCATCAATTCCTGGGGCTTTGTTTTGTGATGAGTCCTTCAGAGCAGCCTGCATCTAGGCAGGCCATTTCAAGGCCCCTGCAACTGAATCTCTGCCCTGTTCCCCACTCAGGAGCCCTAGTGAGGCACTGTGACACACCACTAGCCAAAAAGTCACATCTGCAGGTTTGGACCTACCCTCAGCTGCAGAAGAAAGATGGGCAATCTCCCTGCGAAACTCAGAAAACTCAAGGGGTTGACATGAGTCAAAACTGACTCCATGGGCAGTGGATGAGATTGTATTGTTGCAGACCGAGGGTAAAGTAATAATGAGACATACAGCCGAGAATGAGATAAGAGAGAATAAAGACAGGGGGCCAGCAGTCCTGATGTGACTGAAGAGCCCAAGCCATGCCTCTCTGTGTATTTATTGAGAATCATCTGGAAGGTAAACAAAGGATAACCACAAGGGATTGTTGTTGTTGTTATGTGCCTTCGAGTCACTTGCGACTCATAGCGACCCTATGTACAACAGCCCTAAACTCTGCTCTGTCCTGTGCCAATCGCATTGCCTCTCACACACCCATCCCAAT